GTAGAATTAAACATTATTTTTACTATAATTTTACTAAAGCCAAACAAATTGTTCTAAAGCCAAATAAAAACACTTTCTTGAAAATACTGACTATTAACCTACTGTTAAATGTATAAAACAACCGAAATTTTCGAATCAATTTATTTATATGGCACGTTTCACAATAAAATCATTCCAAAGCATTTTTTTCAGAGAATAGTGCTTGAAAGTATGTGGCAAGGACATTTTGATTTTCTTTTTAATAATTGTTAATGCCAGTGTAATTGTTAACAATCACAAGGCTTTCAGTTTCAACCAACCTTTACCAAACGCTGTTATTTAGTTACATTTTAAATAGATGTTCAAATAACATCTAAAAATTAAAATTTTCTTATCATTTACACAAGTTTTTCCAAACCCGTTTCTGGTCCCCATCAACTTACATAGTATATACAAAGTCAATATCTCTTTTTGTGTTCAGCATTAAAAAAATTCATACAGGTTTTGAACAACTTGATGATGAGTAAATGATGATGATTTTAATTTTGAGGTGAATTATTCCTTTAAGAAAGCTTTTATTTTTATATTTTTAACTTCAGTTTGTTTTAGTAATTTTATGTTCTGTGCCACATTTATTAGGTTTTGTGTAGTTTTTATTTATAACTTTCATATTTTAGTATTAGTTCAGTTTAGTAAGTTTTTCAGTTTCAGAGTTTTCATCTAATATTTATATTTTATTTGAGGTTTATTTCAATCAGCCAAAATAAAAAAATAATAATAAATAGTTTTACTATTGTCAAATTCAATCAATGTGAATTTTCTCTATTTTTATTTATTAATATGTTTTACAATTTTAGCATACAGGACATTTAGTATTCTTAGAATGAAGAAGAAGAAGAAGAGGGAGAAGGAGGGAGGGAGAGGAGGAGAGAGAGAGAGAGAGAGCGAGAGAGAGAGAGAGAGAGAGAGAGAGAGAGAGAGAGAAAGAGCTTACCACTGGTGGTGTCACCACTCCACATGTCTTCAGGTGGCTGTCATAACCCTGCTGATGTGGGAAGCCCAGGCCACAGTCCTGGCAGAAACACGGCCGCTGTCCCGCATGCCCTCCCATGTGTGACATAAGCATGAGTGACGAGCGGAAGCCCATCCCACATTCAGCACATTTTAAGACCCTCTGGTGCGTGCTTCCATGCTTCTTTAATTCCTCAATGCTTGCAAAGACTTGGCCACATTCCATGCAGCGGATCTCGTCTGTCTTGGTAGGCAAAGCTCCTTGATGACCCCAGCATCCTGTGTCCTTCTTATGCTTATCAAAGTCCTCTTGACTCTGAAAGAAAACCAAACACGCCATGCACTGGATGTTCTCGGGCTTACACTCGTGGTTGTGGTAGAGAGAGGGTAAACGGAAATGACGTTTGCACTTTAGACACGTATACGGCAAGACGCCTAAGTGAGAGAAACTGTGGCGTAACAAAGAAGCCTTGCTGGAGAAGGTCCGCTCACAGTCCGAGCAGGAGAAGATGCCTCTGCTGTGCCATTCCAGGTGACGGAGCAGCGAGTTGCGAAGGCGAAAACTAGTGCCACATTTGAGGCACAAATGTCGCTTCGCCTGTTGCCTGTGTGCTTCGACGTGGCCCTTGCACACATCTAGGTCAGTGAAAATCTGCTTGCAAAAATCACACTGATAGAACTCTTTCTCAAAATGGTTGGTGTCCAAGTGCTGCTGGAGCTGTTCCTCGGTCTCAAAGATGGTTGAGCAAACACGACAGTGGATGGAGGCCTTCTGGGAGTGGGAGCGAAGGTGCGTACGGTAATTGACTAATTGGCAGAACTGCTTGCCGCATTCATCGCAGCGGTAGGGGCGAACACCCGTATGCATGTTTAAATGTTCTCGGAGTAAGAAGAGAGAGGAGAAAGTGAGATCACATACATGGCAGCGATTCTCTTCATTCTCTCCAGATCCATTTGTCTCTGAAATTGAAGAACAACGTGTATCAGTAGCTGCTGTAACCAGAAATGTTTTGCATTATATACCATCACTTTCCAGCAAAAAAAGGTGTTGATGTTACAGTATAGCTATCAAGGAGTTAAATTTTTCCTGAATAATTTAAAATAACTAAATCATTGTACTTAAAAAATAATATATAACAAAGAAAAATATTTTTCTAGCACATATTTCTGCAAATAAACATTTTTTTAAACATAAATGAAAAACTAAACAAAATCTCAAATTATTTTTTGTTTTTTTATACATTACATACAGTGTGAAAAAATATATTTATTTTTAGATTAGCTAAATATTACATTTTAATTTTATTGTTTAGAACAAAAGCTTGTAAGTGCTAAACAATAAATTTTAATTTGCACTTTTTGTGTATTTAAAGATTCATTTATATTATCATTACACAATGCCAAAGATATTTAAAGAAAAATGAGCATACACAATAAATAAATATAGTTAATAATAAAAAGCTTCAATAAAAAACTTGTTCAGCAGAACAAAACTCTTATTCTTAAATAAGGTAAATAACAATCTACAAAATAAGAGTATAAACTAAATCACAAACCATTGCTTGGAAAATGATACAGTACCTGACCACGAAACATCATCATCATCTTCTTCTTCCTCCTCCACCTCCTCCTCAACATCATCATCATCATCATCATCATCAGTCAAAACAAATTCTGCATCCTCATCTGTCATTTCTTCACCAGACACAGCATCATCTATTGTGAGACCGGAGGCTTCCTGGCTCACTTCTGAACATTTCTGTTCTTTGTCATTATTTTTCATTCCCTCTTTTCCGTTTTGCTCTTCATCATCATCATTTCTCTGTTCTGGCCCTTCTCTTCTTCTTCCTCTTCCTCTTTTCCACAAATTGTAAATTACTTTATCCTTCTTCTCTGTGGAACTGATTTTGGAATTGCTTTGAGCTGTTTCTCCGTTACTTGAAGAGTTATCTTTGAAGGGAGTGTAATATTGATGATCCTGTAGAAAGCTTTTGTCAGCCGATGAGCTTGCAACAATGCAGGCATCTTCATGACAGTCTGTGGGGGTTTCAGTCTCTGGTGCTGGCTTTTCAGTGCCGTTCTGGGTTGGCAAAAAGTTCTCTTTAACGCTCTGTGGCTCACACAGAGGGAAATTCCAGTTTGAAAAACCCAACTCTGTCAGCTGGATATCGAGGGTAAACTCTGACATGGTGCCTTGAAGAGAAATATGAAAAATTATCTGTGCAAGTTTGTTCAATTTTGCTGACAAGACATTAACGAAGTCTGGGTTGTAATTTTTTCTTCATTAATAAAGAGCCACATGTACCACCTATTTAAGCATAGCATGTGTGTGTTCCTATATAATTTGTTTAAAATCATTCTTTTATTTAAATAATTTACATAAATAAAATTGTACAGATTACATATTGTATATAAGCAAACATAGTGTCTACAACATCTAAGATAAACTGCATGGTTTAAAGACACAGCACCATTTTGAACATTTTCGATCTGTTAATTCAATCACCACAGTGAATACAGAAGCAAGCTTACTTCATTCGTATTACCTAGAAGTCTTCGACGAGCATTTGAAAGCACCTTTTGTTCAGCAATGCAACAATCAATCTCTGATCATGCCGGGTTTATTAACTGCTCAAGGACAGTCTATTATGATAATAAACCACAACTGAATACTGCGTGATAGTATCTGCCGCCAGGGTTAAAACTGTTTTGTCACGACTGACTATAATAAAGCTCAAATCAAGTTGCATGAGCATACAGAAGAAATAAGGTGAGCCACTGTCCATCCGATACTTCCGGTATAAAATGCCTGACTAGAATGTAGAGGGTGCCATCTGCAGGAGGGGAGCGTTAGTGCGGTCATTCGAGAAAGCCAATCACAGTGGACGACGTTTTTGTCTAAATTGTTAGTTTGAAATTAATTGTATTACTTTTCAGAATGTTAAAGCGCAAAAATTCAGATTAAATATCTGCACTTGTTCACATTATGCTGAGGGGTGTGGTTTAGGTTAAAGAGACATTTATAATTTAACACCAGCAAACAAAACACATTATTACATCATATATTGACTCGCACAATTCTTCGTAATACTGTATGGAAATCAACCTGATCGAGCTGTTTATTAATTTAGATTAGTTGATACCATGTTTTACCTGTAGTAAAATGTCCGCTGCAGACATACAGGTTTAGACATATGTTTACATTTCTATGGGTTTAGATGTAGGATTCCTTTCTCACAGTCCTCTTTCAGTATAATGTATTCATGGATTCATCATCATTTTTCTTATTCTTCCAGTGTAAATGTATTGGTTTTGCTCACAGGAAGATGATGCCAGCCTTTCCGGTGTCATGGAAAATCCTTTCCCGCTTGCTAAATGCCTGTCCGTGAACGTAGTGATGGGAGAAACGAAGCTTTTCGAAGCATTGAAACAATTGAACCAATTGCTTCGAAAAATGATTCGATGTTTCGAAGCACTTGAAACAGCACAATGCTGGTGACACCTGCTGGTGAAAACGTTGTAAAAGCATCAAGAACTCAGACCAAACTTACAAAACAAATGGAAATGTTTTTTTTTAGAAATACCATTTTTAAAAATAAATAATAAACATTTAAATACTATTAAATATTAGTGCTTGTGTTATGTGTTTTAAGTATAATCAAACCCTTAACACACAATGAACTAAATTATTTAACGAATTGATTTATGTAATTATTTAATTGTGTTTTCATTAGAGCGGTCTATAAAAACCAGCAGGCAAGAGTAGTGTTATCAGTCAGGAGGAGGTGGATTTAATTCTATCATAAGCTCATTTTGTTATGGTATGATGTGATTTGTAGGTTGAAAGTACTGAATATTTTCACACATTTTTAAAACTATATAGCCATCTGTGTTAAAGGGAAGTTATCCTTTGTTTAACCCACAACATCTGGCCCTGAATTCTTTATTTTTTATAGTAAAATTTCGTGGGATTTCATGTCGCATGATTAATTGGGCAACCAGAAGCGGTTCATGGGTTCACTTTGAGATCAACACCCCCTAGTGGTGAACCATCGGAGTTTCGAAACAGTGTGACGTAACGAAGCTTCGTTTGCTAAAATCACGTGACCTGGCCGGTTTAATACGCGCTCCGAAACACTGATTCGAAACAAAGATTCACAAATGTTTCGAAGGCGCCCATCGCTACGTGAACGCACTGTCCTGAAATCATGTTCTAGTTAATCAAACAAGCTTTCCTTAACCACTTAGTTCCACTCTAACTCTGCTCTATGTATGCTGAGCTTTCTAAACAAAGGCTAACTGAAAAGGTAATGAAAAGGAAAAGTTGCGTCTGACCATTGCACTTAGCTATATCCACTTTCCTCAATCTTCATGAACAATTTATAGAGATATAGATATCGTTCAACTTGTGAAACAGATGTTCAAGCTGATCTTTGTTAAAAGCAATTATGTAAATACCATTTTAAAGGATTTTTCAATAAATGCTTCACAATTAGGCAGAAATGAAATGTTATCATAACCCCAAAGTATGGCGAAAAGGAAGAAACTTTAATCTGTGATAGCAATAGTTAGAGGAGTCACACTTCACTGTAGTCTTAAATTTAAAAACTTCAATGATTTTTAAGTACCTCCTCTCCAATCTCATTAATTCATCATCATGGAAATTCTTTATGGATACACCATAAATTAGAATATCAACACAGAAAAATAAATAAATCGGAAAACATTTAAAACATTTTCAATTAATTATTCAGACATTTACTTCAATCAGAGAACTGCCTTAATTGTGTGTAACATTTAAGTTCAAGTCAAATGTCAAGTCATACCTGTAAAAAAACGGAAACATTTGAAATAAAATTTAGTCCGATCTCGGCAGAAAACAATCATTTAGTAAATCTTTCCACTCACCATTGTACCCACTTTTAAAAATCATGTAAAAACAATAACACATTAGATTCATAGAAAAGAACTTTCAATTTCCCAAAAAAGAAAAAAAAACAACAACAATGTGAAGCCTTAGACAATATAATAAGGCTTTTCTGTGGGTTTTTCTTGGTGGTATTAGTTACAACATGGTTACCCTACAAATGAGAATCCAGTCATGGTATGAATCCTGTTACTTTCCATGCCAAAGCTATGTACAGATGTTAAGAGATACAATGAGGCACCCAAACATGGTTACCACTGTTTACCGTGAACTCCCTACCCTTTGGGTTTCCAGTTTTCAAATAACATGTTCACATAGTGTTGATCTCGAGGGCCACACAGCTGAAGGATCCCCTGCTATGTTACAACTTAAAATCTAAAGTGAACCCTGTCCCCACCTACATTTCTATACACAAAACTTTTAAAAATTGAATTCGTCTTCTGTTAACATACCCCCTTAAAATTCTCCCAAACTGAATTATCTCTTTCCGACTGGCTTCTCTTCTTTTCCATGGCTCTGTTGATGAGCCTTCAGGTTACTTTCTCTGCCAAAGCTCTTCCCGCATGTGGGGCAAGTGTGCCGGCCGGCACTATGCGCCCTTGCCATGTGGGCCTCCAGCTGCTCAGGTCGGTTAAAACTCTCCTCACATTCTCCACAAGCGTGAGGCTTGCGCTGCGTGTGCTTCTCTTTCTTGTGTACTCGAAGCTGCGTCAGGCTGGGGAAAGTGAGGTCACATTCAGTGCAAGGAATCTGCAGAGCTGGCTGAGGAACAGGTTTCTTGTCATCATTTTCTGCTTTATCATCTTCTGCCTTGGGCTCCTGGGTAGATTTGGCTGGGCGTCCTCGTCTTCCTGCTGTGGCTGGTTTTGCAGAAGTGTCTTCTGAATGGTTGGTTTCCTCAGGCCCCTCTGCCTCTTCCTCCTTTTGCTTCGCTTTCTTTTCACCAGCTGCTCCGGCCTCAGTTTTAGGTGGTCTCCCTCGACGTTTGACGGCGGCACTACCGTTGCAGTGCCGGTCACCTGCGTGGTTCTCCTGATGCTGCAGGAGCTCTGCCTCTTCTTCAAATCCCCTACCACATTTACCACATCGGTAGGTCTTAGTGGAATCCTCTGCCTCCTCCCCATCCATGGGCATGGGGTGCTGGGTCAAACGATGGTTACGCAAAAGTCCAGAGCTTCGAAACATATCGTTGCATTCTTTGCACAAGAACTGACGTTCAGGACATACTTGCCGCCGATGTGTTGTTAACTTGTGGAAAGAAAGTGTTGAAATATTAAACATTTTACATTTACAATCATAGCACGTGTAAATCAACCGTACATGGCCATTCTCTCAAACACTACAATAACAATGCCATGAAATTTTTAGCAACTGTATATTGCCTATTTTTGGTAATCAAGTATTTAAGATACTTAATACTCAATAAAAAAGAGATTTTTTCTAATCAAGCAAATTTTCTATTTAACTTCATTTAAAACTCCTCTCACCTCTGAGAATGTGCGGAAGCATTCTTGGCAATGTGCACATTTGAAGGGCTTGTCCTCCTTGTTGTGGGTCGACTGATGTTGTGTCAGTTCCTCAGAGGAGGGGAAGGTTCGATCGCACACGTAGCATGTGAACAGAGTATCGCACTGTTGATGCAAAGACAATAGGCTTGTGAATATACATTGAAGCAAACCAAACTAATCAACAAATCAAACCAAAATGATTTCGTGTTTGAATTTATCACTCGTTTCTTGCAAAGGTCCTTGTTCTGTATTTTACAAGCTAATTTTGTTATTAAATAAATATATTCAATTAAATAATATGGATGGGTAAGGGGATAGAAAAATCAGTTTGTACTTGAAAAAACCCATTACGATTATGGAGAGTCCCCGGAAACCACATACGCAAGAACGTGTTTGTGAGTGTGATATATATTATATATATTTATTGGTGCATTGGTTATAATAGCTATATGGTGGCATAAGTCATGCTATTCCAGTTCTAACAATTTACTGTTGCATCTACTATGTTAAAAATAAAAGGGAAGTACAGTGCAAATAGGTCCTTCCTCTGAAAAAAAAAAAGCTCTGGTGGCAAATTCACAGCTTTCAGTTTGCCAAGTATGTCAAATAAAGCTGACACCACAATAGCTGACGCAACTAATATAAGGAATTTACCATCATTTAAAAACATTAACAGAGCATTCAAAAAAAAGTCATTTTGACAGAAAAATCAGGTATTTGTACACGAGTAAAAAAACTATTCTGATTTTGAAGCAAAAAATGTTGGCAGAACATAAATAAAGCTCAACAAAATAAGAACATAAGCACCAAACAAATGTAATCAAGTGTAAAAGAGTGAAGCCAGTGGTGTTTTTCAGAGTCAGTGAGAACAGGATTTACATTCAGTGAACAGACAGCTTTCCTATTTTATCAGTCACTTGATTTGGGTTAATGGAGATTTCACCTACAAAACATACATCTGCTCATCTCTACGGACATCTGCACGCTTCTGTGAAAGTCAGTAGCATTAGAAGAATGCTTTAAAAACAGACACAAAGCAACACATCCTCACTCAATTATGAGAACTGATACTAGCAAACTAAACTGAGAAACCATTCTGGTGTTTGACACAGAAGTTGAATATTTGCTTGAGTATAATACTGAGTATATTAATTTTGTTTTGATCAATTACGATTAATTACATTGATAAATTACATTTAATTTCAGATGTTTTAATCCAAAGCTACAGGTGCATCTCAATAAATTAGAATGTCGTGGAAAAGTTAATTTATTTCAGTAATTCAACTCAAATTGTGAAACTCGTGTATTAAATAAATTCAATGCACACAGACTGAAGTAGTTTAAGTCTTTGGTTCTTTTAATTGTGATGATTTTGGCTCACATTTAACAAAAACCCACCAATTCACTATCTCAACAAATTAGAATAACTTCTAAACACGTTGTCTCTGTAATGAGCCTAATGAGTAAAAGAACAAAAGTCAAACTACTTCAGTCTGTGTACATTTAATTTATTTAATACACGAGTTTCACAATTTGAGTTAAATTACTGAAATAAATGAACTTTTCCACGACATTCTAATTTATTGAGATGCACCTGTACTTACAAATGAGGAATACAAAAAGCAGAAGCAAAAATCTTAAGGAGACAATAACAGGAGAAACACTAGCAAACATCATCTAGAATAGTGCTAGTATCTAGAAGTAATAATAATACCTAGAAGTATAACCATATCTAATCAAATCAAACTGTGAATGCTGTAAATGACTGAATCTCAAATAATCAGAGATATGTGTTATGGTGCTATCAAAGTAATGCTTCAGCTAACCTGTTGAAGCTGCTGTTTATACTCTTCCCGATGACTCTTCTTCATATGCCTTTCCTTGGCTTTCGAGTTGCAGAAAGTAATAAAACATTGGAAACACTGCAGGCTTTCATGCTGGTCTGAATACAGAGAGAGAGAGAGAGAGGGCGACCAATTCAAACACCAGTAAGGGAGACAATGCTAATTACAAGTTTATAATAAAATATAGTGTAACATCAAGATATAAAAAGGGCCAACCGCAGACATAAAAATCATTTAAAAGCATAACTTTAAAAAAGTTATACTTTTAAGTAATATTACTCCCAAAGACTTAAAGAATGATTATATTTTTTCCATCCCAGCTTTTTTTTTTTTTTTTTTAAATACAAGGACACCATTACCATAACACTATATACAACACTGGCATAACAGTAGTTGTATGCAACAGGTACCCATTAGAAACATACATTTAAACCTGGAGGTCTATCCAAATCCATTCCAGCACTAAATCAGTGATTTTCCTTCATACTCACATGACTGAATGACAGGAGGTGGTGCATGCTCCTGAATGGAGGTGGTGTAGGTATCCTCTGTCTTCTCAGAGGGCAGATCAGCAGGGGCAGCAGCCTCTCCTCCGCCCATTACTATCTCCTCTATATTCAATATGTCTGAGTCCATTATGAGGAATTAAGTGTAAGCCTGCTGTAAATGAGATTATAGTCAATCAATCTATGCATACAAATACGGTATAAACGTGTTAAGAGTGTGCACGTATCACAAAACCCGTCACCCATTTAAAAAGCGCCACTCAAATAATTAATTAACGCGAGAATGCAACTGAACCGTTTCTACGAGTTTTCAGACAGAAGTTTTGACACTGCTGAATAAGAAAAGTCACCCGAGTCATTAAAACATACAACATAGCTGACGTGCTTCAAGTAACATACATATACCGACCTTTGTTTCACACATTAATAACTTAATATCGCAGTAGCCTTAAATATTTGTTGATAATATAAAAATATGGTTTCATTTTAGAAAACAGAGTTAGGAGACCAAACGTTTCCATTCGCGCGTTTTAGAGCCGCCTACCGTTTGTTCGCATTAACTAAGCTATGCTAAGCTACATGCTTCCGACTAACGAGGCCCACAGTGGCCTTAAGCTTCTGCGAACCAAACCAATGCTATGTAGCTAACTAGCTAATTTCTTAATGTATTGAAATTAGTCCCACTACTAATGCATCGAAACCACTGTAAAAATAAACGTTTGAACGGAGCTATGCGTTTATTTTTTGTTAAGCTGCTATAACGTTAGCTAGCTGCTGAGTTAGAGGTTAAACTTGATGCAGACTAACAACCAAGTTCGCTGCCCAAAAGCTCTTAAAACAAAGCCCAAAAGAGGGAAACATTTCTATTTTTAAGTTCATTCAATTTCAGTCTTAAACATTAATTTATCAAAATTCTTACCTGAAAGAGAATAACCTTTTTGTCCGGAGGGAAAATGCCTAAGCCAGAAATTCATATGAAAATAAATGGGGCGCAAACGTATAGCCAGTGACCCGCTGTTAAGACTGAAAAAACCTGCATCACGTGCCAAGGCGTCCGCTGTACTTTCCATTGTGCTCATAGGAAAGCAGAATAGGTATCTAGACGGCCTGTTTGTCATGCAAAACAAGTTAATGGCTTCCAAAATGATTTAACATTGTTAATTGTGTAGCCCATATATAAAATAATTGCATATGCACAGAAAATTACTATAATTGTATAGGTTAGATATAAATGCATAAAAGTGTTTATCACAAGACTGAGCTCATACTATAAAATGTAAAAGCTTTTATTTCATACAAATAGACTGAAGATGCCTTTACAATGCACAATGAGCAGGAAGTCAGGAATTATTAAATGAAAACATCACTTTCTAAAATGACCTTTTCCTTTTAGGAAATAGAAAGCAAACAATGCATGGGACATGTTCTAATGTTTGCTAGGTTTAAAATACAATACAACTTCAGTAGCAACATAAAAAGGAAATATAACAATCACAATATAACATTCATTATACATCCAAGTGGACTTAATTGAATCATTTTTGCACAACTACAAAACCTGGACAAGAATAGATATGGATGGCTCAGGGTTTGTTTTGAGTCATGATGAGCAATAACTTAATGTTTAACCATCTTATTTAAGTAAATGAGTAAAAGTTTAAGTTAAAATGTGCACAGTCTGTATGCCTCATGAAGACCCCTGACTGTGAAACTTCAGGAAGCAGTTGTGGTTTCGAGAAATGCACAGGAACACACAACATTTGAGACACCGCACACGTGATGTTCTCTCACAGCCTCCGAAACGACACCTCCTGGCCTCCTCGCCCTCTGCCAGCTGCTCCGGCCAGTGCCCAAAGCCATCATACCGTGTATGCTCATCAGGCAAAGGGGTCTCAAGAACCTGAGAAGGTCTTGAGTTTGTATCTGGACCATGTAGTTTTGGAGCAGGAGGGCAGGGAGGTGATGAGTCTTGTGCTTCAACACCACTGGAGAGAATCAATGCTTTGGCCACCTCCAAACGAAATGCCATAAGTGATAACAGATCTGTAATATGACTGTAATCTTGCTTATACTGTATCCATGCATTTACCAAAACCAGATCGATCAAGTCCCAGAGAACAGACTGCGGCCAAGCGCTGACTGCTGAGTTTGTGCAGGGAGTGCGATAAAGACTTCTCAAGTCACGGTTGAGATTCGCCGCTTTAATCGCTCTCTCGAAGCCGCTGACAAGAGATGTTGAGCGAGGTTTTTCCTTTACCACTGCTGAAAGGATGAAGCCATGATGACACCTGAAAAGCTTGAGTTTTCCATCCGAGCTCACAAACTCGTCACCTATTTGCCCTCTTGCTCCACCGACCTTGCCAGCGCTTTGCACACCAGCCTCTAAAAGATGCTCTAGCATAGAAGGTGTAGAAAGCTCTGGTTTGCAAAGAAACACCATACTTTCGTTTCTCTCCTTACCTCTACACACCATTTTCTCGACTACATCTTCTCTATTGGAGTCATCTACACTCAAGTTGAAGTCCACAACCAACCCTCCACCATTTATGACAACTGTGTGAAGTAAAGAATGGGTTGGGTGTCTTTGAAAAGGAAGGGGGTACTGGTCTACCCCATAGTTTCCATGTCGCTTCAGTCCCCGGCAACCGTCTTGAACTCTTCTAATCAATGACATTACCTTCCACAAAGGATCTGTCTTTAAGTTCGTGCAATTATGTGCCTCTTTGTAACTGTCAGCTTCATTACTCTGTCCCGGCTGGTTTCTGTTCCTTTCTTCAGAATGCTGATCAGAAGCTTCACCAGAACTGGCTAGCTTCACTTTACGAGTGAGCTCACAGAACCTTGAAGCCGACATGGCATCGGAGATCAGAGGTACTCGTGTGCAGTCTTCCCAGTAGAGCTTTGTGCTTGGAAACTTTGTGGTAGAAAAACAGACAAAGAGAGATGGAGAGACATGTCTCAGTTTTCTGAGCAGTTTTTGAAAAAGTAAAACAATAAGATGGTGACAATATCATCTTAAAACATACTACTGATTAGACTAAAATCAATGAATTCTATATTTTAAACAATGTAACAATTACATTTTCTAAATGAACTATATGATATTTTTCAATGTAAAAATCATGGGACATGGGGGGGGGGGGTTAAAAACTCAAGTTTTTTTTTACACTTTTTAAACCTTGCACTAATGTTTAAACCAGGAAACCTAAATGAGCAATACATAAATAACTGTAAATGCTATAAAAGTGGTGTAGGGGCAGGTTTTTTCAGGGCACTTGACAAATTCAAATAATAGTGATAAAAACATTCAAAACAATATAAAGTCAAACAAATTCAAATTATTTAATAAACTGTTTTAGAATTATGCTTTATCTGACTATTTAAAATCATTTTTCCATGACAAAAAATATTAAGGACCATGGTTTGTCACCATCTTTTGGGAGTGACCCATTTTTCAAATGTTGTCATGTACTAACCTTTAGAGTTCCCATTGCAATGTGGATTCCCACATACTGTGCAACCTCGTTTTCTGTAACAAGGTTTGGCAGTTTTGATGTTTCCCTTGTGCAAACAGCAATTTCTTTCCACGTGTCCAAACTAAAATACTGATTAAAGTAGTTAATAGACTTCCAGTTGAGCTGCCTCTCTGGTTCTGTGTGCCTTGTTAGGGAGCCAGCCATGTTTATAAAGAATAGAGAAAAAAAAACAGCTGTTAAAGACTGCTGAGTGATAGTAATTTGGCATTCCTAGTATTTTATGTAATGCCGACAATACTCACGTTTTCCCACTTGAATCACATCTCTCTCTGCCATTTTGATGTACTGTACCATTACTCTGTATTCCATGGTAACAGGACATCACAATAGTTTCAGCTTCTGGTTCAGAGTGGACATTATCGGCATCATCCGTGTCTGAATTCTCAGAAAGGAATTCTAAAAAGCCTTGAGTTCTCTGCTGTTCAGAATTAACATCACCTACAAAAACAATAAAGCACATTCTGAAACTAAGCTCACAGGACAGACCACACATTAAAGCATTAAACTCCTATTCTTTTATTTACCCTCTTCAGATGTTGTGTATAGATGCTGAACGTCCATTTGTACTGAACCCACGCTGACTTCATCACATTCTTTAATTCCAGATGAAGCCCCTACAGGTGTTAGAGTTGGGAAGTTATAGGTGGGACAGATGAATGATGACATACAAAAAAAAACACACAAATGTATTCAACATTGCAATTAACAGTGCAATGACGTCTCTCACCTGCAAGTTCCCCCGAATTCAAGCACATCCGATCCGCTTGAGGGGGCTCCACTAAATGCTCCCTCTCTTCCTCCTTAACAGGATAAAATATACATTGCTTGCTGTAGGATTGCAGGGGTACTACATGCGAGTCCGAAGATGTGCCATCTCTGTTCTTGTCTGAAAGACGAATAGAAAAATTTGCAAAAAAATTTGCAAAAAGACACAACTGATTTTGTACACAATTTTAGGTTTTGCAAGATTTTGCAGATAAGCTGCTCCAACTATTTTCCTGATACAACTATTAGAACAGAAACTAATATTTATTCAGTTAAATAATTTAGTTAAAACTGACCTTGACATGCAACACGATGATGGACAGGCTGAAGTGCCTGAAAAATCTCAGTTGTAGTCAAGTGGTCTTCAGCTTTGACAAAAAACATTTGTACTCCACGCATCACACCACTCTCAGAAGAAATCAGACTGTGGTGAACCAGATTTGAAGAACGTTCTTCTATTTTCATGTCAGATGATGTGTTTGCCTTGAATGAGAACATTAGGTAACTCGGATACATAATACACATACTGTATACATTACATGACACAATAAATACTCAATACTCCCTAAAAGGGTTTAAAAGTCAATACTCAAATGTTAAAGGACAACATCTGAAGAGTCTGGAAAACATGCAAAAACACTCACCCTAGTCCGACTCTGGGTGTTTGGATTTTCCATATTTCTCTCACGAGCAGTCAAGAATTTTTCCAGTATGATTCCGGGAGAGCTGCCGTCTCGAACCAGCTCTCTAGATTCTTCAAACGAACTGTCTTCAGAGTTTACAATATCCATTACACTTGTGGTAACAGAGTCCAACTCAAAAACGACCTGTTCCTCAGGAGCCTCCTCAGAAGACGATGGTTGACAAGTTTCAGAGGCATTAACTTCATTCATGTCCTTTTCTTTGTTCTTTCCCTCCGGAGTATCAAGTACACACAAATGATAGAGAACTTGGCATTCTTGTGGATCCTTATTTCCTTCCATGTCCTTTGTACTTCTGTTTTCTGTGCTAGTCCTTCTTCCAAGCGGTTTCTTGCCCCGGCTTCTTCCAACTCCTTTCTTACCTTTTGTCACAGAATTTTCTCCCATCACTCTTTTATGATCATCAACTCGACGAACAAGTACCTCCTCTTCTTCTTGCTTTATCTCTGGCTCAGTAAGAACATTTTGAGTCAATGCTACACTGGCATCTTTTGCAGACTCTTGAGACTGAGAACATGAATTGCTCACTTCACTTTCATGCTCTTGAGAGACACCCGAAATGTTACCTATCTGAGTGTTATGGTTGTCATCTGCATTTTTTTCTTCAACCATGACTAAATTCACCTCTAAGGGCAGTTCTTCTTTAATTTCTTCCTCTGCTGCATCTTTGAGTTCAGCGCAAGAAGTTTCTGTGATGGACCCGACCTCATGGCACTGTTCTTTTTCTGACACACTCTCACTAGTATTTTCTGTGAGCTCCTGGGGCATGATGCTTTTGCTTAAGGCTGGTGTTGAGGCCTGAGAAGGGATCTTGCAAACTTCTAAAGGATTTTGCTCAGAAGGCTGCTCAAGTCCAGAAACAATACCTTCAACATCTTTGTCTCTTTCTTGTTCCTTTCCTTCAACACCACCAGAAGCAAGTGTCAAAGAAGGAGACGGACTTAACGCTGGGAATGATAGTCTTTCTCCCACAATCTCCCCCACCTCAGTCTCCATGTCCCAATCTGTTGCAACCTGAATTTCAAATACATTAGGTGGAATACAT